TGTTGTGTGTGTGTGTGTGTCACGAAATTCATAGCGAGCGTCGCAGAAAAGATAGGATGACAGTTCCAAGAAGTGATATACATGGCAGGACGGGAACACTTTTGGTGGGTGTCAGGAGGTGATAACACTTGATAAGATACGATAAGGGGCCGTAGAAGGGGAGGGTGACTGAATTCGTAGCGCAAGTTGCAGCAGGTGTGGGACCGTGATTTTAAGGAGTGACATACAATTGCCAGACGGAACACTTCTGGCGTGACGTGACAAAGGTGATAGCCATTGATAGATTCGATAAGGGGCCTTAAAAGGGAGGGTGACCGAATTCGTGGCAAGTTGCAGCAACGGCGGGACCATGATTTCAAGTACTGATATGCCGTAGGGTGGGGCTGGCAGAAGCTGATAACAGTTGATAAGATCCGATAAGGGGCCTCGGAAGAGGAGGGTCATCAAATTCGTGGCGCAGGTTACAGCAACAGTGGGAACTCAGATCCGTGAGGTGATATAGGGTGTGGGACGGGAACATTATTGGCGGGCGACAGAAAGTGATAACAGTTGATAAGATACGGTAAGCGGCCTCGGAAGGGGAGGGTCATCAGATTCGTAACGCAGGTTACAGCAACAGTGGGACCTCTGATCCGAGAGGCGATACAGGGTGATATGATAGTGATACGGGACGGGAGTGTTATTGGCGGGTACGATAGGAGCTAAAATTGACAAGGTAGCATGGGAAAATCCGCTTCACCGCTCACAACAACAATGCGATCGATATGACTCAAGTATAACGATCTCAGTGATTCCAACAGAACTCATTCCTCACTGCTTATTAGTAACGACATCGTGTACGACCGCTAAGCCAGCTCTATTCCAAATGCATGTGGTTTGTTTACAGAGATGTTATGAACAGCAGCAACTGACTTTATCACTCTTACCACAATTATCTTCCATCAGCAACTTCAGTGAGGGCCATTTAAAGGGTTCCACTGCTGAATGCGGTAGTGCATTCCAAAGCAAGACGCTTTAGGAAGACAGATTGCATAAATTATAGGCTGCTTCAGTGGCTGTCCAAACAGGCTGCACTATTTCCGTGTAGGTTATGAAGTACCAGTCGGATCGCTGGCTAAGGCCGGCTTTCCTCCTGATGATGGCGAGGGGGGGACGGCGGGGCGCTCGGCTGCTGCATTCTGCGCCCTTGACGGACAGAGCGCTGCTTTTCAGTTCTTGGCTGATGCAGAAGATTCCTTTGAACAGTGTGGTTGGTCAACGATCCTTAACTTAGCACGCGGCAAATCCGCATGGCCCGGCTTCGCCGGGCCATGTCACAGAAGGAGGAGCGCCCGGCGACAGCCGGGCGATCATCGATGGTCTCTATAATACGTGCGATGAGATGAAGTTTAGAAGCGATGGAAAGGTGAGAAAAGAAAAATAGCAAAGAAAAATAAGGGTTTTTCACTCGGCCAGCTAGGGTCGTCTAGGCAGCGCTGAGAGCTGTTTTGTGTAGGCCGCCCAGGCCCCGACCCGTATCTCGCTAAGCAAACCCTTATAGGATAACGTTTGCTCTCTTCGTGGCAAGAGAATGATTTAGCCTCATACGAAACATGCAAATCGACAACCCCACAGAGATGCCAGGCTTGCCTTCTATGGCGTTTCCCCAGGACTTCTGTCCGAGTTTCTGCGCTTTTTAATGAAGACACAATGAGATACCGCTGCCTTTCCTAGTCCTCGTCCTTGAAGGAGATGGTTCAGCCGGAGTTGCACTAGCTGGGCGTCGTTGACGACTGGACGACCGTCGTCCCTCGGTAGCAAAGACCTTAAACAAACAATTATACGAAAAGGTTAAAAAGAATGATGTAGCTTAGAATACAGGCAAATGTTCTTTTCAGAACACAGCAGGGTGCTGTGCGGTTTGGAGGGGGCATCTCACACTTTTGCTTGTTCCTTTTGTTAGATCACATTAAAACACGTCTCGCTTCTGTCAGACCCATGAACACGTCTCACTTTTCTCGGACCCAAACTCCTAAAGTTACAGGGGGATCCTGCAGACCCCTGTGAAGCTGCGCAATGTCTGGGTGACCTATTTGCTCGCAGGTCTGAGTACCTATTGGTGCCCCACCAAGTCCGACAGCGCTCACAGTTGTATCTTGGCAAACAAGAATCAAAAAAAGGGCCTGATTACCCTAGCAACACGGTTCGAAGCTCAGGCTGGATTGTTATCGAGAACCTTCCCGTAATTTCCCCTGACCAGAGCTCCCGGGTTGTTGGGAAGTTAAGCACGGAAATTAAATCAATTAGCTTGGAAAGCTTCCTCTCCCCACCGGCCCAGGGGCAACAGGCCTGTTTAGGGTGGCGGAGTCTTAGGCGCCTTCAAGTCAAGCGCCAGTCAAGCGAAGGCGATGATCGTTCAGGGGTCAAACTTGCTCCGAGGATGAATTTTTAGCCAAATATGCTCAAGGAAACAAAGTTCGATAGAAATCTGGCAAAAATTCTGAGCAAGATGGGTCATAAACAGTGCCAAAAAGAAGCGCTTGTGAAGGAAGTCAAGTCAACACACCTCCTCCACATTATGATCACCTCTGTCACCGCTGCTACGAGATGTTACGGATCCTTCAAAGATTATCATTACGGTAAGAAAATTGTCAACAACTCTTTCACATCACATGCCTGATTTCATCGTCAACTTCCACAACAGTGCCCACTATCTTATGTGTTCTTCGACGCTTTTCTTCCACTTTAGGGACCTCAGAATCTGAAAACAATGTTGTTTAGAGCTATAAGTATCAGGGTGGAAATGAAGCCCTGATTCTGAAATCTGGACCACTAAATTCTGACTGTTCTCCTTGCGCGTACCTGATAGAGTTCTGTTTCGAGTGCTTGTCTCAGCCACTGACATCTAAACGAGAGAAATACATAGTCTTGTTCGCTGCGAATAACGGTGCGTGTCAGCTAGGATGGATATGGCGCGGCGCCAGCCAGTTGGAAGGTGACCGCAATTGGTGGCGAACGCGCCGCCAGCGCGCCAAACCCATTCGACCTGACACGCCCCTTCATCCGTAGTGAACAAGGCTGTAACAAGACCGAAATGATCTTTAAAAGACTCACATCAAATAAAGTTGCAGCATCGATCCCTCCCAGTGGCTTTGGAAGCGTGAACTTCTCTAGAACATAAATATGTAAAAATTCAGGAATTTGAAGTAAAAAGTTCTCTCACCGCCAAGTAGTTTTGCAGCTTTAGGAAGGAGGGTCTTACGTTTCGAGCCTTCTTGTACTTCCAAGTCTTGACTTCGTGATGAAAGAGCGTGTCGGCGTACGTCTAAAGATAACCAACGCTACAACATCTACTGAGGTTGAGGTGAGGTAAGGTAACTAACCGAGTCGGTGACTTAGCTCACCTGCGAAGAGATGCTCGAGATCTGATATAGGTCGTAGCCTGTTTTTGGCGGGAAAGGAACGACTTCGCGTTCTCAAAAAAGATAACTTTTAAGGCAGTAAGGGCCAGCGAAGTTTCTGCCGGGCAAGGCGCGTTGTTCCCACCGGACCCACTGGCAGAACAAGGTTTAGCTGGTGCGGGGCAAAACCCTCTCGCAGCCGTTTTCCAACCATGGATTTTCGGCAGCAACCAGCCCGCGCCCCAACCATAGTGCTCGACTGCTTTAAAGGAGAGAGCGCATTTGTCAAGCACAACAGCAAATGCTGATGACGTCACAATTCAGGTGCGCGCGAGTCAGGAGCAGAATTCGCCTCCGACTGCCTTCTCTCTTCCACACAATTGTCGTTACGCGATTAATTTGCGAAAAAAAAACAGTGAAAAACAGCGCCAGTGAATTATTTCAAACCCGACGATCGACTGATTGCCGACGTCATTTGTGCATGCCTAATCAAATGGTACAGTACAGTTACTTTGGTGAGCGCTCATTTCTTGGTAGGCAGTTGTGACTCGACGGGTTAGCGCTAGGTCAGCACGTCGCTTGGCGGGTAGAGACGTCTGTTCTCTTCGGAGAGCAGAACCTAAGAAGGCCTATTTATTCGAGAAATCTAATAAAAACCAAAAATGTTAAAAGTGCATGAAAGGGTTAACTGAATCGTCGTTTAGAGCCGCAGGCTGCGCGCGCGGCAAGACAGGACCATTCCAATCGCTTTTGCTTTGCTAAGGCATCGTGATCCTCTCCTAGGGTAAGGGACCGAACACTGTCTTGCTGGGAAAGCGCAGGTGAGCAGACTCAGTCGTCTCCCTAATTCCAGTTAGCGACTTCGATAACTCGCACAAAAACCGTTTTGCTTGGCAACGTACCTTGGTTTCGAGGAAGAATTAATAGTAAAGGTCAAAAGAAAATGTTTACAGATGAACATAACCTCTGGCATGCCCGAGAGCACGTTTAGTGCCTTTGAGGTTCGCTCCTTTCAGATCCCAACGACTCTAGAAGTAGATTTGCTAAGTTTTGGGTGTGGCTATCTACACAGTCATATCGTTTACCTAACTCGTCTTCTTCCTCGGCTATGGCATCTACAACCTTGAGCGTCTTGGATCTCTTCGCATTCACTGCAGGTATCTCGGAATCTAAAAACTTGAGGATAGAACTGTAACAACAGGTATCCCAACACCACCTACCACGAGAGAAATTCCTACTGAAAGGCGCTTTCAGACTCAGTAAGCAGGCCGCGCCATTTTCGTAGAAACGCATCCCTGTTGCTTGCTAAGCACTGACAAAGAGCCCTGGTTTAACCCATAACGGAGCCTAGTTCTCTCTCCCTGGTTTTAGGCAAATCTTCCTCTCACAATGGCATCCTACTCCCTTAACACTGTACCACAGAGCTTCGCTTTACTGCAACAGCCCACGGTAACGTTTCTAGGACACAGAAATATCTGGTGGCCTTATGGCAAACAATTCACAACAGCCTGTTTTTTCAACGTCGTACGTCTGGGACAAATGCCATTTGGTCGCCGGAGGGAATAAAAATGTGTTTTGGTCCGAGAAATTTCTTTCAAATAGTTCATCCTCCTGACTTCCCCAAACTTGGCGGCTTAGCCAAGTCCTTAGAATTGCTATTCCGAACAGATAATGAGTATTGTTTGCGTGGTGAACTCAGGCCTATCTGCGCCCGCAAGAAGGACGAAGAAGAATCTCAATGGCGCCGCTCCTGAGGAAAGAATCGGGATAAGCAGATGGTAACAAGTGTACCTGAGGGCTACAACTACGCTTACATATCGTACCTGACATGGTCCTACGACGACTACTGGTCCCTTTCATTGTCATCTGAAAAAGGTAAAAAAATTCAGTCGAAGCAGTAGAAAAGCAGAACTATCTTACGTCAAACAGAGTTCCAGCATCGATACCTCCCAAAGGTTTCGGAAGAGTGAACTTCTCTGAAAGGCCAAACAATAGAATCAATGATACTATTTATATGTGTGCTCCTCACCGTTCAGTGCTTTAACAGCTTTAGAAACAGTGCTCTTACGTTTGGAAGTCTCCGGTTCTACATCTGCAGCCTTCGACTTTGTCACCGAGCGAGTCGGAGTCCGGCTGGAAAGATTTTCGAGGTATAAGAACGATTCTTAACTCTGAGAAGGGCACACATACCGTGTAGGAGTCTTTGGTGCGCTGGAAGATGCCTCTGAGCTTGTCGTGGAAATTTTGCGAGTTCGAGCTGCTCGGCTGAAAGAGATACATTCTCATATGGTTTCAGCGCTCGATAAGTAGCAAGAGGTAAACGCTCTTACCCAGGACTCTTTCCTAACCACTTCTGCCGGCTCACTTTCTTCAGGTAACTCTCCCAGCTTTCCAGAGCGCCTAAAAAGTTTAAAATTTGATTGATATTGAACACCACTTAATAGGATAAGCAAAGCACCTCGGGTTTTCGATTCTTGAAGTGGGCTAAAGTGTGCTGCTCACGCACCGAAGGTGTTTCTCCTTGAAAATTAAGGTACGATGAATTCATACGAGAAGGAGGCGCAGTCTTGGTGAGGGCACCATATGGCAGTCAGCTAAGTTCGTACAGCTCACCCTGTGAAGACCTGTAATCTCCTGTAACTAAAGTGACCCATTTGCACCACTTCGCAGCTTCAGGAGTTTACAGGTTCCTTTTGTAATTCCTGTTACTTAAGATGGACTAACGTAAGGAACTAGCGGAAGTGCAAAATGCCCCCTCCAAGCCCAAAAGGGCTAAACATGCAAAAGCCTTCATACACATTGACCCGAATGGGTGTAGGCCGACCGACTAACCGAATAGTCGTGCTTCTTCACTGGTGCACCCCTTCTCTCAACAATATGAATAAGAAGTGCACCAATGAAGAAGGTTTGCCAGTCTCCGCCCATCATGCTATCACGGAACGGGCCCGCAAGTAGAAGGGCATGTTAACGTGTTTCTGTTGGTATTTCAACTCTAAAACCACTAAAATCACTCTTAATACACTCACTGTCGTAAACTTCTACGCGGAGTAACTGGAACGGCATCGATTTCCGATTCAGGTATCTCTGTAGATTGCCTGAAACTTTAACAGTTTATTCAAGAGCAGAATCACCAGTATGCAATGCAACAACGTACAGTAGCAAATGTTCTTTTCTCTGGGCTAATCTAGAACTCCTTCTGAGGCACACACTGAAAAAAAGATGCGCTCAGGAGCTAAGCGATCAGCTTCATTGAAAATCGTAAGCCTTTGACAGCCGTCTAAGCAAGACGGTACAGGACGAAGGAGACTTACTGAAAGATGATGGATTTTTGGAACTGCTTATAAGGGGGGAGGGGAGGGATGTTCACCGTGGTAACCACATTACTTCTAAATTGTCACCGACGTCGGGTTGCGGGTTAAACGGGTACACAGATTAAAGGATGAGGATAGGGTCCCTTCCACTCAATCATTTTCAAGGATGCGGCACGTACTCTACTTCCATTTACAATCGTAGTGATTGGATGCGATGTTGCAAGGGCCAGCCGACGCACAAGTCAA